CCGGTTCTACTACGGGCGTAAGCGACTTTTCCCATACACCTGCGCATTTACCATTGCGCACCTCCCCACCCTCCCCTCCTCCTACCATCCCCAACTACCCCCTTCTCCTATCTCTCCACGCCTCCGTATAGTCTCTCGTCGACCTATCTCCTCGCTACGGCAATTTCAAAAAAGTGCATTTTTCAAAAAACCATAAGACTAAACTTCTCCTAACTGTACTCCTCCTCGGCTCCAACCAGACGAAGAAAATCTATACGTCGGATGGAAACTGGGCGCGGAGCGTTCTACGGTCCGATTCAGAAAATATCCCCGCTTTCCTCTCGAATAATTTCAACGACCGCTCGCATGCTTTGGTAACACATAGATTAATAAATCTTTGCGGAAATTTCGAATTTCCAGCACGACCGCAAATTTTTTATCAATGTAAATCTCGAGCGGACGATGGACGTTAGACGAGTCTTTCATCACGTTCGGTCATTTTCACGAGGGAAGATGATTTACATTCGAGTCAGATGAGCCGCGAGTTTTCGGACCGACGCTTTTCGTCGTGATCGCGTAATTTCGATTCGCACAGAGAAAGGGAGAGAGACAGAGAGAGAAAGAGAGAGAGAAAGAGAGGAGGAGAATTTTGTTCGCTCACTCGCTCGCTCGCTCGCTCATTCTCGGCAAAAGCTTTCGACGATAGCGTATGAAGCAGCCTGTACGCAGAAGCGCGTTGTAGTGGGGAGCGTGGGCGAGCGGGAGAACGGTGAGGGGCGGCGAGCGGCAAGGGGGAACAACGCGGTGTGCGCGCAATGTTCGCTGCTGGCGAACGACGACGGTGGATCGGTGAACGGGGAAGCGCGGCGGCGGGAGAAGGACATCGAGCGCGTAGTCGGACAAGGAGGGAAGGCATTACTCGTGCATGGGGCGTTACCACGGAAACCCCTATTCGTTCTCCATCCCTTCGCTCGCTCGTCAGGCAGCGCGAGAGAACGAGGGAACGAGAAATGCGGCGGAGGGACGAGGGGGGGGAGCGGAGAGGGAGACGGTGACAGAAATAGAGGGACCGAAAGGACGACCGACAGAGAAAAAGGACGAAGCGCGAGAGAAAGAAAGAGGGTAGAGGAGAGAGACGAGGAGCGAGTCGGTGGAAGCGGGAGAGGACGAGAACGGCAGAGAGAATGGGAGAGCGAGAGAGAGAAAGGAGTAATTGAGGGAAAGAGAGAGAGACGGGGGGGAGGGAGCAAGAACGAGCGAGCGATATAGGACTCGACGGTGGGTGGGAGCGAGAGAAGCGGCAGCGCGATATCGAGAGGGGAGTGGGTGATGAACGAAGCGAGCGAGAGCAGGATGGAGAACGAGAGGGTACGCGCTAGAGGAAGATAGCCGGCAAATGCGGAGCCGCCAGTGCAATCAACCCGTTGCCCACTTGCGAGGGTAAAACTATCCCGAAGTCAGACGAGGATACGTATATTGCGGAGGGAGCTTTGTCGCTATATACGTATATATTTTATATATGTATATATATAAATATATTTTATACGTACACACATGCACACACACACACACACACACGTACGTACACTGACGTGCATACATACGCGGGCATATAGTATAAGAGACATCGAGTAAGTAGGAGATGTAGAGGGAGGGAATGAGCGCGGAGAGCGAGATAGAGACAGAGGAGAAACGAGTGCTCGGGGAAAAAAAGACCAGACGAAATTACGAGATTAGATGACTGCTACCTGTAACGAGACTCCATCGATAAAGCAGCGTTTCTACGTTCAAGATTCCAAGCCATCATTCACGCGTGCTTTTTTAATTCGATCCGCGCCCTCAACCGCGATGACAATTCCTGACAAGAGCGTCTACTCGCGAGACACGATCATCTCGAAATGGATGTATATTTGATGGATATATACTTTGAAAGTTAATTCCGATCAATATGCGATTAATAATATATATAATATTCGTCTTATAGTAATAAACGACAAAATATGGGAGGCGAACGGGGTCTTGATTCATCCAGCGTCCGCGTTAAATTCGTTTTGGTGTCGTAATTGTGAAAACTTTGTTCCTTCGTCGCGTTACAAAACTCGCATTTTACATAACGCGCTGCGCACGCCGGAGAATATTATCGACATTTCTCTCGCACACGGTATCTCGAACTACGCCCGAGTAAATGAGGAGCTTGAAGTCGGTCCACGAGAAAGTCATCTCCCGATAAATCCTCCCAAGCGATCCGGATATTCACAGAAATATTCGAGACGTACAGTCGCCCTTTGATTATGACGGCAACTGGAATTAAAAATGCTGGGATGTCGAAACTTTAAATGATTTTGAGTTAAATGACGTTTGATAGATTTTTTTTTTATTTCGATTCAACTTTCAGGATTTTGCATATTAATTTAATTTTAATAACAAAGTATTTTAATTCCATGGAATCTATGATATCAATATTAGTTGTAAATTTCGTTAGATGGATGAATATAATACAATGGAAAAATGTATAGAGAAGTTATGATTATTATAGTTTTAAAATATTCATCAGTCTCATTATATTTCCCAGAATTTCTATCATGTTAACATAATTATCTTTACAAATGCATCAAAGTAAAATTTGTACTTCCATCCTGTCAAACGGCTCATATGTAATATATATATAATATATATATATATATATATATATATATATATATTATATATATATATATATTATATATGTCTAGATACGACGTTAAACTCTCATGCGCGAGGGTGTCGGAGCTTTCGTTCTCCTCGTGGCTGGTGCTGGTAAGGCGCAGTTGCTCTATTCTCTTGAAACCAGTTTTCCTCCACATGACCGTCGGAGAAGGGCAGACTGAAAGAACGGGAGAAGGAGATACCGGGAGGGAGACGGGAGAGAGCGAGAGAAGAGGAAGAAGAGAAAAAGAAAGAAAGAAGGAGAAAGAGACGGGCGCTCGCACATATGTGTGCCCGCATGCACGCACACAGTCGCACGCGACCGTAGTGCGTACAAGCGCATGCACGCGCGCACACACACACACATACGCACGTCCACAGTCTTCTCGCCGTACGCACGTCAGCTAAACTAGAAAGTTGCTCCGACCGACGTTGTCGGTCGAAGAAACCGAGCGACGCTCGAGCTAGAGCTACCTTTCGAATTTCAACCGCGAATATTTTCTACGTATAGACCGCCGGCGTCGTGCCGCGCCGGACATGCGCGTCCTGGCGAACTGCAAAATTCGATCGGCGCGCGCGCGCACCGTACTCGATTCTCTCGGCCGCGGCCGCGGCCGCGGCACTAGCCCACGTATAAAACGACGCGCGGCGATCGAACGCAGCGTTTTCGAAAGCCCCCGTATATCCGTCCGTGCCGTCCGCGTTAGCTCTCTCGCGAGCGGCGGCGAGCTCGCTACGGATCGGTAGGTGCGATCGATCGAGCGTATATTTGGTCGGAAGCCAAAACGCGCGATGCGCCATCACGTATACATTATGTACTACTGCCACATGCATTTATGTACATGTATATAATGCTATATATATATATATATATATATATATATATATATGTATGTATGTATATATGTATAAAATATTGTATACATGTATATATTATGTACGAGGAGTCCCGTTATACGCTTTAATATTTTATATCGCGCTGTCTCGTTCAATAGAGCGTCACGATTGTAATTGGGACTGACGCTCAACTCCTGAGCGTGCTAAAGTTGGAAAATTGTTCAAGAGGGAAAAAGAGGGAGGGACTTTATTTTACAATCAACTTTTTAAAACAATCTAAAATCCCCGTCTCCTCTAAACCTATCTCTCGATTCGCTCGCAACGAGCATTAGCTACCGACATTAACGGCATCTCCTTTTTGGAGCTGTATCGTAAATTAGAATTTTACATTGTCGGAGTATATCGTGCCCCACGGCGTATATCGCTGACGGATTAAGACGCGCGAATCCACCCTGTGTATCGTGAAACCTGGTCGCACGGACGCCTCTGTTCCTGCGAGTAGAAAGTCCGCCGGTAGAAGTATTTCGTTCTACGTCGAGGCAACGCGGCGACTTCCCGCCGAGGCGAGGTGAGGCGAGACGAGCTGAAGCGAGCCGAGCTGAGCTGAGCCGAGGCGTGGCGAGACGAGGTGAGACGAGACGAAACGAGGCGAGGCGAGGCCTCGGAGCGTGGGTATCAGCACGGAACCGAGTCTACAACGCATTAGCGCGGCGTTGTCACGTTTCGAGGTTCTCTCTCTTTCTCTGTCTCTCTCTCTCTCTCTCTCTCGCTCTCCCTTTTTCTTTTTCTTCGCCCGTCTCCGTCTCTCCTTGAAGCTCGTTCCTTTCCCTCCCTCGCCGTCCTCCACCCCGACGCCTCGCGCCTAGCAGTACCGACTCGTTCTTTCTCTCGACGCTCCTCGCCGCCTCTCGCCGCGCGACGTTGCTGATTCGACTGGCGGGAAAACTGGCTCTTCAAACGGATTTTCCCGCGACACACGGCACACGATCCACGATTTCTCGCTATTACACTTTGTCTTTGCCGTTTTGCGTCCGTGGTATCACTCGCTATCGGCCGTACATTTGACGGGCGTTATCGATCGTCATCAACTTTGCGCCAAACGCGACGAATCTCGCGCTCGCTTCTGTATTTTAGCGAACATTTATTTCCGTGAATTTGGACAATTTCTCGAAAATGTTGCCTCGCGCGCTCTCGTAAACAATAGAAATAACACCGACCGCATTCGCGGAGAAAGCGGTAAACGCATCCGTTGCATTTTCCACGCTAAAGATGAATCGTTATCTCCGTATCTCTTAGTACCTCGCCATCATTTAGATTTGAATTATATTTTGCTTATTTTCACGGCGAAAATACCACTTTAATATAGAGAATCTTTCTCACACGATATCTAATAATATGGAAATTCTTTTACACATAATAATAATATATGTATAAATTCTAATTTAAATATATTACAATAAGTATAGATTTATAAAATTCTTGTTTCTTTCTGTTTTCAGCATAAAACCAATGAAAGGGAAGATGTTTTGGGCCTAAAGGTAAGCTAATTTTGCAATACAAATATATATTCGTAATACTTTTCGTTTGATAAACCTTCGAGTTTTTTTATTTTGATGTTTTTATAAACACTTTTGTGTGGGAATAAAATAGAAAAGAATTCGCAGTGATATAGGAAATGTAAAGATTTGGAACACACACATTCTAATAAAAAACCTATGTCTATTATCTTTTGTGTCACGCATGACACAGCTGATAGCGCGCTGAATATGTACGGCAAATGGAGCGCTAATGAACACAAACAAAAATACATTAGACAGGTTGATTTCTAGTAAATTTTCCAAATTTTTATCACGATACATTTTTATATAATTTCTCTCTATAATGTAAAACGTAATTTGGAAGGACTTCTTGTCCTTCGCAATTTTCCATCCATCGCGCGAATAATCTCGTGTGGCTTCACATTGCGAACGATAACTCTGACCGTAGACACCATTGTCAAACCGATCGCGATTACTCGATAGATTAATTACGAGAATCCCACAAGGTAAATTAAGACCAGGTTTAATATACGAAACATGTATATATATTCTCAAAAATTCAAACTCTTGTGTGTCTATCGATCGCGATAGCTAAATAATAATACCGCCAAATTAATCAAATAAAAACGCTAAATTATTTTTAAACAACAAATCTTGGAGGCGCTGCATTATACAGCGATGAAATATTTTATTCTCGAGAGGTAGACTATCTTGAATAACAAATATGGAGCGTACATTTTTGGAAAAGCGCGAACTTTAATTAAGTAACGACTCCGTTGTGATAGACGACCTCCCGTTCTTTAAGCTTGGCGTCTTCGGGAGGCCTCGATCGGCGTCCGACAACGTCCTGTGACTTTGAAAATAGAAAGTCACTTTGAAAATAGGCTCTCTCCGAAATATGCGCGCCTGGCGAACCCTTCCATCGTCTCGGCTAAGAAGAAGAGGAGGAGAAAGAAGCCGAAGAGCAGAAGGAAGACCGTGATGAAGATGAGGAGGACGAGGAGGGGAAGGGGGGTTATAGACGCGGTTTTAGACTACGGACTCGGCGCGTCGGCGTCGAGTTAAAAATAACAGTAACAGCGGCGGAGCCGGTCCTTGTCGACGTCTACATCGTCCACGTCGCATTTACCGCTGACTGCCGCCGCCGCCGCCGCCGCCGCCGTCGCCGTCGTCGCTGTTGCTATTGCTGCTAGCTGGTAGCTTCCACCGAGCTGGACGGCGATATCGATGACGCTACCGCGCCATTGCGACATAGCCTTGAGCGCGCTCTGCGTCGCGTATCGAAGAAGTCTAGGAGCGGAGCTGCAAAGTCGCGGCGTTTGTATTTTTTTGCAGGAATTTTAATATCTATCTAGTCGGCCGTGTGCAGGGGGTTTTTATCGCCTCTACACGAGTCGCGGCAGAAATTTTATTCGCTCGTTTAACGCACGCGCGCGCGTATTATAATCATCAATCGGGCTTTTCCATTCGCTGCGCGAATCTCTCGAGGCTCGCGCAGCATTTGTCACAGGACGAATTTATATAAATCTTGATGACGAATTGTCACGTTTCGCGAAACTTTCGCATCGATAAAACTCCACAAATTTGTCCGGTGCTTTTTACGAAATGAAAATTATTTAGCTCGTACTTGCATGGGTCGATTTATTCGTAGAATTTCGAGCGTAAACTTGACACACGAGATCTGTCACAGATTCTCTTCATTGCGATAGTTTCGTTTTATTATTATTCTTGTGAAAATGACGTTTGTCGGGTTTGATTATTTATTAAATTGCGATTTTTATGCGACGCTTGTCACATTAGTAAATTTCTTGGAAAGTTTATTCTCATTAATTATTCTTCTATATTCACATCTAATTTCCGTCAATCATTGCAAAAAATTTAGAACACCAAATTTATCGAAGCAAAACATGGTTTGATATATTAATTTGGAAAAAAATCTTTTCAAAAAAAAATTTGAAAAAGGACTGCTTGCATCTAGATAACTTCATTTAAATCGATATAAATTAAATATTAACGCATTAGAAAAAATGCAAATTATACAATTATATAAAATAATTTAACAGAAAACGCATATAAATTGCGTATTAATACAAATGGCCTAGTCACACTTATCTATATTGATATAAAAAATTCTTTGGAATTTATAAAATCGAGAGATTAATTTGAAAAAAAAATTCAGTTTCATTTTTCAAGTGTTTTCTTTTTATGCATTGTATGTGAAATTCTGTAAAGAGACATGCGCGCTGATGTACATTTGTAAGTTTCACGATGACAGAATAACATTTGGGGACTCGGAAAGGTTTGCGATCAAAGTTAAAGAGCATCGATATTATATCTATCGCGTATCTTTGTAGCGAAGCATCGCGGATCGGGGCTCGAAATCTTGGCTGCGCGCGATCAACGGATTCTCTCTTCGTGCAACGGCGAGACAAATTTTATTTTCGTCCCGCGGTGGCGTCCCGCGACCTCGATGCCGTCTCCCACTATATCTCGCTGTCTTAGCGCCGCGGCTGACACTCGTAAATCCAAAGCCACGGCGATCGCCACCGCGGATACCTCGATAATGTTCGGACGATATCGAACATTGCGTATCGAACGGTCTGCTTCAAATGAAATCCGCTCACAAGTGTTTGCATTGATTCGAGTATCGAACACTTGGCTCGAATGTCATCCTTATGAACGAGGTTGTACAATTATATAAAACATCAGAAATATTTATTGTGTATTTTAAAAGATTAAAAATATTAAAAATGAGAAGAGAGAATATATATATATATTTTTCTCATTTCTAATATTTCTAAATTTTTTAAAATATAATAAATATTTCAGATATTTTCGTGTTGCGTCATAGGGACGAATACCGTCTGACATTTATTTTTCCCGATATTTTTCAGACCTTTATTTGTATCTCGAGAAAATGACATTTTCGACGATTACGAAAAGGCGCTATTTTGAACGTATGATTCCGATCGCCTCGTTCACTTAGTTGCGCGGACTCGGCTCGGCTCGGCTAGGAAAATAGTCGGGACAGGATACGGGAACAGTTACTGGCGTCTCAGGGCCAGCGCGCCTCGAGGCAAGGACGGTACCGCTACGGGCAAAGATCTCCCATTGCTCTCTCCTCCCGCAGGAATTTATGACGTGAAAAATCTCGTTTCCTCCACGGAAATTCTCGCTGATCGCTGACTCCTCGCACAACTCTCACGGCCCGACCTAAGCGATCGAACTTACGGATCGTCTTTAAGAAAAGTGAGAAAATAATGTTGCGGCGAGAGTCCGTTCTCTCGGAACGGATACGATATCTATCGATGCGAGATTTACAGAGAACTATAGCGCACATTTCCTCCTCGTTCTTTTTTCTTCGCGACGAATTGGAATTCGGAATCGTTCCTCGGTATTCGAACAGAATATTATCTTTCTTTTCGCAAATCTTCCTTCGAGAGACATCTGAGATATATCTGACAATTAATTCTTGAATAAAAATTCTATCAAAGTGCTGAAAATGTCAAATAAAAAAATAAGCACATTTTGCTTATTCGCATTAATTCATATCGATTGTTTTAGACATTAAACAGAGCGCTGAATCGAGAGCGACATAATACATTGTCTGGACCGACAAATAGGGAAATTCTGATTTCCACGACTAATATTCGTCCGATCCAAATATTAGCGACGCGGGCGGGATCGATTGGGGGTAAATATACGGCTTGACGGGATCGGCAAAGGACGATATAGACGACACTCCTAGATCCGACCGAACGAGCGTACGGAGGTCGTTGAATCCCATTAAGCGGTACTCTCTGATCGTTTCGCTGTCGACCACCTGTATGCCGACGTTCTTTTCAGCCGATGTCTCCGCATCCGTGTTCCTCCCTACCTCTTGCGGTGTACCTGCTGCGATGTTGCGTCGAGCGACGACGACCAAGAGAAGATGGATATCAGGATGAAAGCGATTACGTTCTTCGTCGTCGTCGTTGTCGTCGAAACCGTCATCGTCGGTGAATATCGCGCACCATGGCTAGGATATTGCATTCTCCTTTTCTCGTGTAGCTAATGCGGCCACACCTTTCACCAACACCCAGCCCGGCAGGCTCTGGTCTGACTAGCGTGCTTTAGCTAGGCTAGCTGGACGGGCTAGGCTTGGCTTGCCGATCGGAATAGCCAGGCTCGATCGCTCGACTCGCTCGTTCGCTGCGACCGGTTGTACGATGACTATTCGCGTACATCTCACAAACGCCAGAGCCGTCTAACAGTAAAGTCTCTTTCGCTTTGTTCCGTCTTCGCAGTCTTTGGCTCCGACAAACGTATTATCTCACATTGAATTTTCATTTCATATCTCTCCATCCTTCACGGGATTATTTCTATGAAAAAACTCTCCAGGAAGTATACTCGAATTAAAATATAACACGTATTTTTTTTGAAATTGGAAATAGATATCGGGAAATTGAAAATATATCTCAGATTAACGAATTGCGTGATTAAACATTTATAACAGTATTTGAAATAAAAACATACAAAGAGCAAATTCAAGCAGTTTGTATAATGTATAATGAACGGAATTAACGATCAAATTGTTTGATCGATTTGCGATGTCTAAAATTCGAATATTCGAAAGTTGAAACATTAAGAAAAATAATATGCGAAAATAGTTCTCAGTGAATAAAAATAGCTAGCTTTAATTTGTTCTTTTTTCACAATATATTATTCAACTTTACTATAATTTTATATATAGTATATTTATTCTATAGTATTTATTTTTATCGTGCGTTTTCTCTATAGTATATTTATATTCTCTAATATAATTTTATCTTATTATTTATTTCATTATCTTTATTATTATATTTCTTTTATTATTCCATCTCTGCAAGTTATTTGTACTGTTTAAATGTTTTTTCGAGGTCAAGGTCCGAACTGCTGTCGAAAAAAACATTTAAAAACTACAAAAGGTTAATATATCAAAAAGAAATCTTTTGAAAACCATTCGTAAATTTTGTGCTCTCTGTTGGGGTGCTCGAAAATTTCCAAAGATTTTCTATGTAGTTCCCGGAAAGAGATTCGTTTCCTTCAGGTCTCCCTTCTTCTTTTTTGTTTCTCTCGCTTCATTCTTCACTCTAATTCTTTTTTTTCTTTTCTTTCCCTAATTATGAATCGAATCGCACAAAAATACATTTCGAAAATTAAAATAACCAGGTTATAATTAATACTTGCATAATAATGTTGAGCATTAAAGTTTCTCAAATTAGATTTTCGATATACATGACTTGTTTAATATGATTAATTTTAGCGATTTTATTTCCGTAATATGAAAACGTTATCTAACTATTCGATATCAAGGGATCTAATTAGCTAATTGGCAGTTACATTATTGTGATAAAGTGCAAAGTCGACGATGAAACAATCAGCCAACCGATCATCCTGCATAGTCCTGTTTGCAGGAGCGGCAGGCCTATTCGATGAAGGGAACTTTTTCCGCTGCCGCTTCGACGATCCGAACAAAAAGGGCCGAGACCGTAGTCTACCCGGGGACCCTTCGGCATAAAAGGCTCTCCAACCCTCATTCTCTCTCCCTTCGAATAGTGCGTATAGGGTTTTCTACCCCGAATCCAAATCCGACCTGGTCCTGCAGCCTCCGTATATTTCAACCGTAGGGCCACGTGTAGCATTGCTCATACGCTATCACATGAGCATTTCCATTTAACCCACGTGTTGTCCATGTGAAGCACGTATTGTTCAAAATACAAATAGTAACATTGTACTGCTTCTGTTAATTATAAAAGTTTATAAAATAATTTTTTGTGTGTAAGAAACAGCGTATTACTGCAAACTCTAAAGATGTGCAATAAATTAAATGCACTTAAAATTAAAGAATTTTACATGATTCATTTACAGTATACGTCAATAAATTTTCTAATACTGCATTTTTTGTAACGTAGTGTATTTTCCATTCAACCTTCTCGTCGGAATGTTGTACGCCTACTGCATTCCCACGAGTGAAAGCTTAAATGAGAATCCCTGGGTTTTATTGTCGACTCTTCACGGAGCGTACCACGATGCGCCCTTACGTCCGACCCTTGTCAAGGCAGCATGGCATCGTGGGTTAACGTGACCCAAGCACGACGTTCATCCGTATTTCCTACCTGGGCCCAGGTATCGGACCAGGCCCCACAAGTAGGTAAGAGACGTTGTATCGAGACAAATTTTTCCGGAACGCGTCTTCCTTGGAATTCTTGGAGACTTTGCTTTCAGACGTGACGGAATGGAAGATGGAGTCTAATTTGTACAATAAATCGTGCAGCTTGACGTTATTTTGATGTAAATTAAACCAGCTACAATGTGATAAAATTAGTGACGTAATCTTCGTAAATCAATCGTGTTTTAAAAATAGAAGGCTCAAGCTATAAAAAAGACAAGTTTTCGAAAAATATCATGCGGCACACATCAGACTTTCTTAAATTAAATTTTATATATAAAATAAATCTTACATTTTGCAATATTGCGATCTGCAGTAAAATATTTTCGCAATGTTTCTGCCATCTCTTTCTTGTTTCATAAATTCTTACATTTTATCGATATAAAATTAAATATTTCAAAAGGTCGTGCGAAACTAAATATAATACTGATAAATATAATATTCATCTTCTCTTTATGTGACCGAACAATAATTCGATATAATTTGATGCATTTTTACTTATGTATTGATTCATCACTCTCGCAAGTGAAAAGTATTCGCGTAATGTGCAAGCCAGACGCGTGCCCATTGTTGACCAGCCGGCACCTGCTACGTCCGAACTGTCCACTTGTTCTTTTCCTTTTCTCTCTCCTTCAAGTGTCCCACGGACATCGTAAACTTCATCCCGCGCGCCCACACTCTTCAGATGTAAACAGGTTACGCGCGCGCGCGTTGCCTTTCTCGCTTTATTCTCCCTTCTCTCGCCTTTCTATTCTCCCTTGTTTTGCTTTACCTTAACGTGGACTTTAAGTATACTACTTTAACCCCATCTTTGTACAAAGCAACCGCGGAATTCACCAATGTGATCTATTATTCTCGGATAAAAGAAGCGGAAAAAATTCGTTCAAATTAAGTTCATACTTCATTAATTTATTATTGCAATATTATAGTCCATTTCATATCGTTTTATTCATATGGAAAATTTTGAATTGCGAGAGTGTAATTTATTTAATTAAAAATTAAATTATTTCTTCCGTTATAATGTAAAGACGGGGAATGTTCAAATTTGTCAAAGAATTCCCTATTGAAAGAACACACTTATAAAAGACTTTACGTATCATTCAATAAATGTTATATTGAGCTCGATATCTCGAGATGTACTGCTTTACAACTTCAGCGTGACTGATCGCACCATTCCATTCATAGACGGGTCAATCGACGCGAGTTTCTCCCTTCATTGAAATCGAAAATATTTGAAATAAAAACCTTCGCGCTCCACATGACGCTGGATGACGAACGCGAAGGGTGAACGAGAAGGGGGTTTGGGGTTGACGGACCAGAGGGAGGGCGCCGCGTCATACGCGCGTAAGCAGGAAGACGTCACGGTAAAAAATCCAGCGCGGGGGACAAAAAATGTATCGGAAAGAGAGAGTGACGTGTGCATGTGTATGTGTGTGTGTGTGTGTGTATCCCCACTGGTACTCCCACGCGCAAGGGGTGCCCGCCATTGCCCGACATATGGCCCCCTTTTTCAGCCGCCGTACGTCTCCGCTTTCCCACACGGCCAAGATACAGCCATTCGTGTGTGTGTGTGCGTACGTACGCATGATGATGCCCGCACGGATGCATCCATCAAGCTGTTTGAATTCTCGATAGAACAAAAAGGGAAGTTTGCCTTAACGCGAATTACTTTCGGCACGAGTTTATTTCTACTTATCCGAAACTTGCGTCATCTTTCTTCAAATATGATCTCGAATATAAATTTATATCGATTCTGAATTTGAAGAGAGAGAGAGAGAGAGTTCCTCTCAAAATGAATAACGTATGGCAGGAAATATATAATAGTTGCAAGATTATTATATTTTGAAAAAAAAAAAAAAATTTCTATATTTCTAAATCGCAAAATCGCGATGTTCTATGAGCCAATTATCACAAATCTTTTATATGATATTATAATTTGCGATCCCAATTCATTGTTTATCGCTATAATAATTTCACAGTTTGCCACACGATCTACGAAACTCGAAACTATGGCCTTACTGTCATTCAAACAAATTGAGACATCGCGAATTACGGGGGATACGCACGAAGCTTTGACTCTACCACTAGTAGAACTGGCACAGACCAATTAACGACCTCCAGGGTGACGTTTGTCGTCGCTTTATTTTCGAAGAACTCGACGTCCTTTTTCCCCCCTATTTCTGGTTCGCTCTTTTTATTCGTCTCTCTCTTTTCCGCTTTCCGTCTCTGCTCGCCCTCTTGCCGGCGTCTCTCAATTTTCCATCCTCGAGTTTTTCGTTCCCTCTCGTCTACTTTCTCTCTCGGCCTCCCTCTTGTTCTCTTCTTCTCCCCTTCCCTCTCACTTAGTTCTCCGATTTTCGGGGTAGGACCCTTCAGGACACCGCAGATGTCATGCGCCCCTATAGATAGTATCAGTGACGCTCATTGTCAGTTCGGCTTATGTAAAGGGCCACGTGTCCTTGATCATTTTAAATGTGACATTATGTCAAAAGGAAAATTTCGCCAATCTTAATCAAAGTCTTAATAAAATAATCTATACACAAACATACATACATTTTAACCATATATATAATATTGAAAATTTCAAACAAATATTCAAAGAGAAAATTATACAGTTAAACATCATCGCGCCTTTAATATCATATGAAAGAAAATTTTGTGAATGTCAATAACAATTTTGATTTTGTGAAACGAAAATATCACGAAATGCGAAGAACGCACGTGTTCATGAAGCATAAGTAGACGGTAGGGGGAAAGAAGGAATACGCGAATCGGGCGAATGAGAGGCACTGGGGACCAGGGGAGCCGACCCTCCGTTTTCGGCGACCTTCCTTTATTCATCCCCTAATGTAGGCCCGACTGGCGCGGAGGCTCTCTTCGTCGCTTCGTATATAGGGTAGGGTATCTACCAGTTGGGAGGCATATATACGCGCATTATATACCATACGTCTATACATATAAGCGCGTGAAGCAAGGGTGGGCGCGTATCTACGTGCTGGAGAGGAGATCGCCTACGCGCTTTCGTATATATCGCGTGGCAGCGAGCGGGGGATGCCTCGGGGGTGGCGGAGGAGTGAATGAGCGGGTCGACGTCGCCTATTGGATAGTTACAGTCGAGACGCATCGCAACAATCCCCCCGCGTGTTTCTCACTCCCTACGACGGCCGATTCGTACACGTGCCCGCCGTCCCTCGAGGGTGAAGCTTCGCAGACTCTCGCGCGCGTTTCGCGCCCGATGACGTATCGCCCGCGCTGTTTTCGAGTTGCCGCGAGTCTCGTATCGCCGAAAAAGGTGTCTCGAGTATTTGCGGTACCGGCCACTTTTTTCGGATATTTACGAGAGTCTCGAAGAATTTCTCGACGAGATAAATGATTTTAATTATAAATGTGCACTATAAATTTATGCAAGTAATTAAATAGTTTGTAAATTTAATTAATTTTGTATTAACTTCACGACACTTGTATAAAAAATTTATTCGATAAACAATTTTTATTAGCTGATACAATTTTATATGATAAATAAATAAATCTTAACATACACATCAAAATGACGAATATGATGATTTATGCAAATTTCTCTATCTCTACTTGTATAAAAAATGTTATCAATTATCTGATTCATCATTAACTAATGATTTAATTAATGCTATATTAAATGGCCGCTGTTGTATGAAATAGATCGCGCGATCCAGGATTGAGCAATGGGAGTCTCGGCGAGAAATTTCGTCTTAACGTCTTAACCGCCTTGAAAGAGCGGAGTCCTTGAAGCCTGAAGCCGGTCGACCGACGCGGCGCAGTACAATCTTATCCACACGCGCTCGTTGCGATAGCGCGTGGCTAATCTGCCGTGGACTTTACTCCTCTAAACTCGTCGTTTGGGTCAGCCTCCAGAATAGCGACCAATTTCGACAACGGGGTTTCTTCGAACGCCAAGAATCGTCTTTGACGTAACTTCGAGAATACGTCAGCGATGTATTTTGATATAAGCAAAACTTTATATAATATATAATATATATAAATTTGGAAATATATATCATAGATTAAATTGCCGCTAACGTGACGATCTGTTGGAACGATAGTGTTTCGACCTTGGCCGCGGTTCATGTAAAATCCGAGGACCCATCTCCGGTCGCGTCCCCGAGGACATTTGTCAAATCGGGACGTTCGATCCAGCGCGCACGTGATAACTGTGACGAAAGGGAAACGTCAGTATACGAATGGGCTTCCACATCAAGACATAGTACTGAGAAAGTAGGAGAAAGGGAGAAATATGTGCGTCAGATCCGTCTTTCTAGACGTTGTATGTAAGAGAAAGAGAGAGAGAGAAAGAGAGAAATATTATTTTAATATTTTTACTATTATAAAATAAATTCTCAAACATTACATTTAATTAAAATATAGATATATATTGCAAGTATATCCTATATTTTTATCGACTTTCTAATTTTAGACAGTAGAAAGTAGATTTAAATTTAATGTTATACAAGTAAAAAAAAGAGATTGCAAAATAAATTATAAAGATAATAGTGACAATGTAAAGTATCACATTGGAAACGAAGAGATGGACGATAACGCGGGAAGAAAGTAAGCCAACACTCGTCTCTCGAGGAGAGAGAAGTATCTTATAATCACCTAGTGCACCTTGTAATCATAATCTTTGAGAAGTGAGTAGGTGTGCGTGCTTAAAAAAAATTCAAGCTTATTATACATTTACGTAAAACAAAGTTTTGGTAACTCGCTCTCGCAGCTATTTGCGCGTGTGCCTTCATAAAAATACTTTCCATCCACAACGCAAGACGCAACCGAGCGAGTCCTTTCGACATATTTCGCTCGCTCGCTCGCTCGCTCGCATTGCCCGGAGCCTGCCTCGTTGTTCCTCAGTCCGATAGCGACGTGCTCCGGCTGTTTGTGCCGCTTCGCAATTTCTCCTCTCGGCGCCGCCACCGTCGAGTCCCCTTTCGAAAATAACACACGGCCGGTTG